AGGGCTGGAGCAGGGATGCAGCCGCAGCTCCGCCCGCAGCCGCCGCCCCGCTCTGTCCCGCCCCCGGCGCTCGGCGCTGCTGATGTGCCGGGCTCTGGTGATGTACCGGGCTCTGATGTGCCGGGCTTGGAGGGGCTCCTCGCCTCCCCATGGATAGCAAGGTTGCCCCGCGGCTCCTGCTGCTGCTCGCCTGCGCCGGGCTCGGCGGTTCCGAGGAGAACAGGTCGGTACCGGGCTGGGAGCGGGAGGAGCGCACCTTTCAAACGCTGCCCCCTTCACAACGCGACGGCACGGCTGTGCTTTCCTTCCTCGGTTTGAAAACACCCCGGGCTAATGCTGAAATTAATTATTTTTGAGGCAGGCGGTGCGTTAGAGCTGGGACTTTGTAACAATTTTGCGAATTTTGTGGATTTTTGTTTAAAATCGGGTGTTTCCTGTGCATCCGCCCCGCTGTTCATTCCGTTTTAATGAGTCCCACACCGACTTTCCCTGGTCCCTGGGAAAAGGGAGTTATAAATAGTATAGGAACAAGGGCGTGAAAACTACTCCAGGGAACACAGGCACGAAAATATTCTGCTTGTGTTGAATATCTGAGGCGTGAATTCAATATTGCAAGTGAGTATTAAACTTAGAAATTGACTGGAGAATTTGGTTTATTATTAGTAGCGCTGTTTCGCTCTCTAATGAAACACAAACAGCGAGCCCAGATCATAGCAGGGGGAAGAGGGGACTTTGTAGAGCCAAGCATTAGGAAAGTGAAAACAGCCTGAGCTGTATGAGTTGAATGATGCCCAAAGTCACCAAAAACACACAGAACGAACATGCTGATGAAGGTCGCAGCTGTCAGTAAAATCTGTGTATTTGAGGCAAGAAGGACATGTGGTGATTTGCTTAAGCTTGTATTAAGAGGTCTGGTAGCCAGTTACTGATAAATACTACAATATGTTTTCATTAAATAGCTTACTTGCTGCTCTCTTCTGCCATTTCTCGGATTTCTTACTGCTCTTCTTAGTATAATTCCACTATTTTTCTGGTTTTTGTTGTTGTTGTTTTTGGTTTTGGTTTTTTTTTTGTTTTTTGTTTTTGTTTTGTTTTGTTTTCTTTTCTTTTAATCAGTCAGACCAAAATCTGATAGAGAGCGAGCAGTGGAGCATTACCTGAACTTTATTGCAATAAATATTAACAGATGAAGACCTTGATGCCAGTGAATCACATGGGAATTTTGCCTCATTGGGATTGTGCCTGCAGAGTGTTAATTTGCTAGAACTTCTATGAGCTCAGTGTCTCTCTTTGTATTAAAAATGGAAGCTTGAGTATCCTCTTTTTCTGATCCAGACCTTGTTGGACATCCATTAAATTACAAATCAGCCCCAGTAATCAGTGCTTTGTAAAATATTTGTGGAAATCTGTCTCCCTGTGTTAAATCACACATTAAAAACCACAAGAGTTGTGGGGTCTGTAGATAATTCTTAGTGATGGAACTTACACAGAGGCATTTAAAAGGCAGTGATATTTTTTGTCAGGATGTTTCTTAGAGGGAGCCAGCTTTTTCCTTGAATCTGGTCTCTCCAAACTTACACATCTATAGCATTAATAACTTCACTGAAATGCCTTATGTTGAGTGTCCCTAGGACTGGAAGCAGTGCATTGTCCTCAGGTGCTCCTCACCTTTCAGAATTTTATTTTTAGTGCATTTGAGAGGTCACATGTTATTTTCCAGTTGGATATCTCATAAATTAGCTGTAACAAGTTCAGTAACCAGTTCAGCAGCCAGTGAGGAATTCTGCAGCTGTAGGTTATCATTCTTAGGGAGATGACTCTGAAGCAATGGAAATACAGAAATACTGTTTCTGTAGATGTGTTGGGCATTTTGCCCATCTGGTGCAGTTTATCAGAGCAGGGATATGAAGAGTGGAAGTGTGGACATGCATGAAAACTGCCTGTGGCCTCCACACCCAACTCCTGCTGAGTGCCAGGATTATTCCTGTGCTTATCTGGGTGGAGAAAATGCTGTTTGCATGGAAGTCCTCCAGAGCTGGAGTGTTTATCAACTTTTGCAGACAAACAAGCCAGACTCTGTTATCTTATGTAGATGGATAATGTCATCTGATAAGACGAAATTTACACGTCTTTATGCTTATAATCCTATTTAATTGGGTTTTACATAGTGATTAGTCATTCCAGTGCTTTGTATTAGGACTAATCCAATTTCAAGTGGGTCCCTAACATGCTTGGTGTGATAAATTCAACATACAACATACGTGCCTGGGTGCATCTGGGAGAGCTCTTTACCAGCTGGTAAGGGAAAATATGGCTCATCCAAACATGAACCACCTGTGATCAAATGAATTGGAAATTTCAGGCTAAGAGAGGCTGATAAAAGGCTCTCTAACTCAGTGTGCTAGAAATTATTTGCTGTGGAGAATGCTCTAGAGCTGGCTAGTTTCTTTTCTCTTACACATGTAATTTTTATAATCTAAAGGGAATGTATATTTTTTAGTTTGCAGCTATTTTCTCTTTATTCTTTGTTCTTGTTTGAATACTTTTGTTTCTGTGGGATGACAGGATGCTGAGGATTCCCCAGCTCACCTTTTTGGGTGGAAAAGCTGCTGTTTTGGAAGCAGGGTGGCCATGGCCAGCCACAATTCCTGTCATGGGTCACACCCTGGTGGCACCTCAGGGTGACAGAGGTGACAACACCAACATCCACTGTGGCACAGGGTGATGGGTTTCCCTTCCTGATGGCAATTCGTGCCTCCTGCAGGGGGAGGGCAGGCAGCCAGCACTGCTAATTAACACAGTAATTAGCAGAAGGGCCTGGCTGTGGGGCTGAGTGTGTGGCTCCCAGGTCACTCTCTGCTCTGCATCCCTCCTGAAAACATGAATATTTCACCAGCTGTGCACATTCATCTCTGTTCGAGCCTCTTCATGCTGAAAGCAGAGATGTGACATCCCTCCCAGAGTGGCTGTGCCTACATGGGGTGAGGAGGAGCCAGGATCCATTTCTCTTAATGGGCAGTCACAAAAACAGAATTAACCTTTCCTCTTCCATGAACATCATAGAAACCTGTCAGGGAATGGGATGAATTGCACAATTTTACACCATTCTGCTTCCAACCCCTCAGTGTTTTAGGGCAGGTGCCACAGCATGGTGATATCCAAGCTGGAGTAAATGGGTGTGAGTGCTTAATTATGAATATATGCAGACACTGCTTAATTATGCATGTGGAGAGGAGCTCAAAGTATAACTAAGCATAACCAGATAGATTATATATAGCTGCAACTAAGGACAACTAAAGTCAGAGTAACTAAATAATGTACATTCATGGCTTTTTTGGCATGCTCTGGATTTGTAGCTATCATCATGGAAAAAAATGCCCCCCCCCTCAAATTTTGCCTCTTTCAGCCTGAAGGCACAGCCTGTCATGAAGAAAGACTGGATGAGACAAAAAAAGCTGCATCAAATTGGAAGACCCATGTTCCTAACTGTGAAACAGCCCCAGAGAGGGTTTTGTTTAAGCAAGAAAACCAGTTTTGGTCCATTGTAGCCACACCTTTCGTTACCTGTGTGTCAAAATCTGAATATTTCCACCCATTTCTGAAGCCTGTTTGAGCATGAGCAGCCTCAAGCCTCCAGGCCAGCACTAACCCAAAAATCAGTGAGAGAAAGAGGACCCACTCTGGAAGTGCTGCTTGAAGCCACTGGGGTTTCAGAGCTGCAGCTGAGGACAAAGCTGTCCTCTCCGTATGTACATAAAACTGCCAGACGGATTTTGAGCAGAGTTTTAACTGTTCTGGATATAAAGTCTTTCAGCCTGGCAGCAATCCGGGTGGGCTCCAGGCTGCCCCACTATTGCTTGGGGTATTTATGTGCCCTTGAGGATACTGTGATGGAAAATGAGGTTGGGATCACTCCTGTGTGTGTGCCAGGGGGTCACAGAGATCCCCCTGCCCAGAGCCCACCAGGGGAGGCTTCACCCGGCTGGCCAAGCACTCCCCAGGAGCACCAAGCCCCGACCGTGCAATTCCAACAATTTATGGTGAAATTTGCACCTGAACACTGAGAACTGCCCTAATTCCTGATATTGACATGCCAGCCTCGGTGTAAATACTTCCACAAATTTTTCTGCTGTGGTGGTTTGGAAAGATGGTAAGGAAGGGGGCAGAGGAAGAAGGTGGAAGTGTATTTCCATGTGCAGTGGGAGGTGAGGCAGGTCTGGAGGGGCACAAGAAGGGCAGGATATGCACGGTCTGTGGGCTGGTGCTCAGCTGGGAGAGTGGGAATTCTGCTGGAAATCTTGGGAAGGGGGAAGAGACCACCAGAGGAGCAAATCAATCCAGTGAAGGGGGATGCAGGTCTCAAGGAAGCCGCTATAATGTAGAAAGTGTTCATGGAGTCATGGAGAGGAGTCTGGTCCCTGGAGTGAGTCCTGTTTTATTGAGCTTTGGTCTTTAGGTGTTTGCTGGTGTTTGTGAATCCACTGGGCTTGAGTTTCTATCTCAGGAAAGCTGATTGTGCTGACACCAGCTGAGGAACTATGGCTGAGAAGGGAATCAAATGCTGAAAACTGCATGAGCCTGGTGGTTGTTCTTCACCCGAGCCCCGCCTTGCAGTGACTTCCATGGCATTTGTTACTGCCTGGGACCATCCAGGAGCTGCCTTCACACGGTGTAAATCTGTGCCTGAGGCTTGCCCAGCCCCTGCTTGTGCTCCAAATCCAGCTCTGGTTGTGCTCTGATCCTCCCTGGGGAACGAGGAGGGTGCTGAGCTCTCCTTGGTTCCCCTGCTTGTGCACTGGAACTGGATCTGTCCCCATCCCTGTCCCAGAGCATGCCAAAAAAGATGTGAATGCACATTATTTAGTTACTCTGACTTTAGTTGTCCTTAGTTGCAGGTGTATATATAATCTATCTGGTTATGCTTAGTTATACTTTGAGCTCCTCTCCACATGCATAATTAAACACTGTCTGCATATATTCATAATTAAGCACTCATAGCTGAGATCCCATGGGATGGGACAGGAGGGGTGATGAAGCCTTTTGTTGTTGGAACCCAGAATCCTGGGATTTTTGAGCTTTCTGTGCTTTCTGGCACTGACCCCCAGGAGAACACTGCTTTGGACATGAGCCCTTGGAGAAGGATTCCAAAATTTGAGTGATGGAGTTAAAATCACGGGTGTGGAGTTAAATAGAAGTGTGTGATTGCACATGGTGAAGGATTTGGAATTTGGGATTTTAGAATACAGCAAAGGGTATGGGACAAGATGGAAGATTTTGGGTGTTGTCTCCTTTCTATGATTCTCTTCTCCTCCATGGTTTCAGGTGGTTTTTGGTTGGACAGTCAGTGCTGCACTGGGGGTCACAGGAGTTTGGTTATTGGGTCAAAAGTATCAATAATACAGGTGTCAGTTCTTTATTGGACTGTTTGGCTTTTAAACACCTTGTTAATAACAAAACTTCAGCTCCACTCTGCTCACTTTTAGCTGGGAGTGCTGCAGAATTCTCTGTACTTTAGATAAGATTTAATAAACAACCAAGCCCAATGAGAAATTCATCTCCTTCATGTTTTTAATCCTGACTCTGAGTGAAGGCAGAAGGAAATGAAGACAAGGCACTGATTAAGTGCTGCAGTTGTCACATTTACATTTTGTCACCGTGGTAAGGACAGCCTGTCAGGGCTGGTCCAGCTGAAAATGAGGCACTTATAGCCGGGCTACAGCAGCTTTGGGATAATTTGGGATAATCTGGGATAACAGCCCTGTTCCTGTGGCCTTCACCAGCCAAGGACCTGAGCTACCTGTGGAATGTTTTGTGGAGTGAAGCAGCAACAGGAGCTTTCCCCACTAAGCTTGCTGCAGACTTTGAATTCAGATGCTGCACAGTAAATATTTTTCTCCTCTCTCCTAGGTCACATGAATTTTCAGATCAAGATTCTCTCCAGAGAAATGGTAAGGCTTTTGGTGTGCTCAGTCCCTGGATGCTGGTTCTGTTAGTGTGGCTGTAGGAGATTTCATTCCCAGATTCTGCTTCTCTTGGCATTGGAGACTCTTCTGTCACGTTATGTTAAAGCATAACCCTCTTAAAAATACCCTGTACAGGATTTACCTGTTAAAATAATAATTTACTGTCCAACTCTGAGCTGCATTGAGAATGTGGAAGGAAAAAGCCTTCAGCTTTTTTTTAACCAAATGGAAACAGAGTTAAATGTATTTGCTGCAAGTCAAATATTTTCCAAGGCGAAATCAGTGATTCTGACTTACACATTTTGTGCAGAGATAATTATTGTTTGCATAAGAACTTGAAAGATTTTATAAGTGTGTGTTTTTACAAACGTGTGTTTTTATAAATGTGTTTATAAATGGATGTTTATAATATGCTAATAATGAAATAACACTCCTTCTTCTGCAGGTTACACAGGCCATGTGAAGCCGAAGTTTAATGTCAGTCAGGTGGCAATTGCACAGGTAATGTCTGGAGGACTGGATCTGTGAAGCCTTTCACAGCACATTTAGGTCTTTCAGCTTACATTTACTATATAAAGTTAATCTGTTTTAGTTTGTTTACAAGAAACAGCCAACCAAAAAAACAATTGTGATACAGTTCTGCCTCACCACTTGTGCAAATATTCCCTGCTTTTCTGAGGCCTGAGGTGACACCTCAGGTGCTGTTGCTGGTGCTGGCTGGCCATGGGTTTGGGCACAGGCTCTTTCTGGAAGGACAAAATCCTTATATCCATATTCTCTACAATGGGATTTGACTGCTGTGACCAGTCTTGTTCTCATATCAGCTGGTACTGAGGGAAGAGCTGAAGCAAAACATCAGATTTTTAGTTTTTTTTTTTCCTGATACCAGGCAGTAGGTCTTGTCAAAAACTGAGCATAAAAGGCTTCCTTCCCAAAAGAAAATCACTCACCAAAAGTGATGCATTCCAATGTTAGTAACAAGTTGAATAAATGTCTCTCATGTGGATTTCTGAGGTGACATTTGTATAAATACACTGATAGCCACTCAGCACATTTCCTGACCATGATCTTGCCTTGCTTTCAGCTTGCTGCTGTCAGTGCTTACTAATTTAAATCCTAAAACATCCCTGTGCCACATGTAAGGTCCAGTATCAAAAGGGATCTTTCAGGGTCTGAGCTGAGAGTTATGGTTTGCTAATCTAAGCAGCACAAAAAAAGAAAAATCTCTCTTTAAGCCAAGACAAAACCTTGGGGCTTAACTGGTGGCCCTTCTGGAGCCTGGTAAGATGCTGTTTATGACTGGGACTCAGAAAAACTTTCCTGTTTTAATGTGGACTTGTTAGAAACAGTCATGCAGATATTGTGTGTGTTTTCCTGTTTGGATAGGGCAGAGATGGTGACTGGAAATCTGAGTGTGAAATCCGAGGATGCCAGTTAAATTCTTTAGTTCTTTCTGAGCCCTAAGTCCAAATGTCCTTTTGCTGTGAAATTTGGCTTTTAAGGGATGGCGTTTTTCTGGTGTCTGCAGGGGACAGGGAAGCTGCAGCCCCCGGGTTTTAATCCTGCAGCTGGTTTTGTGAAAGCAGGGATCCCTGCTTGATCCACCCCATCCTGCAGCAGGCATTTCCCTGATTTAAAGCCGTGGTGAACCAAGCTACCTGCAGCCAGGTGTGCACTCAGACATTCCTCTCACCTTCCAGCATGGTGGGCTGGCACAACCTGAGTCCTTTCCAGTGGGCTGAAGCAATTCTTAGAGGTCTAGAGAGACTCCTGGAGAGTTTTCAGCTGAGGGGAGCACCTTCTGTGCTGGGGCTGGATGGTCTGTGATGTGACACTAATTTTAGAAAAAGCTAGGATTTTAGGCAAAAGATAGATTTGCTGGAATTAATTAAAGCAGATAGATAAATAGGCCTTGCTGGAAATAATTAGGAGTTAGTAGAAAGAAGCTGGACTTGAGATAGTTATCTTGAATTTAAATGACTAATTGCTTGTCACCTTTATGTTTGCTCAGCTGGGTTTGCAGTGAGAAAAGGAGAAACTGATAAACAGATCTAAATAAACACACACAATTGTGAATCTTTTACATCTCGAAACCAACTCAAAAAGTCACAAAGGGAGGAAATTAGAGATCTCCCAGAGATCATTTGTATTGTCATCTATGGGAGGGGTTGAAAGTTCAGGGCGAGGAAGACTCGCCTTACTTTCTATTTTTATGACCCCTCCCCGTAAAAAAAGACCACAGACCCAATTCAGGGAGCAAACCATGCATGCTTAACAGCCATTCAAGCTAATTACCATGGGGAGCAGGGAATGGGAGGTGCTGGTGCTATGAATAAGCAATAATTTAAAACTATCGTAGATAAACAGACTCTGTGACCACTTGTGATTTTGCAGTGTTTTAGGGGATCACCCCATGCAGTTTCCTAGTGAATTAGACGTTACACTTTCTAACTTTAAATTGTGAGAGAGCCTCTTGTCCATCACAGTTAGACGGGTGTTAGAGCAATACCCATATTTTAATAGAGCAGTGGGAAGGGGATGCAGCCAAGCCTCCCTGTGCTTCCTCCATCCCCAGCTGGCTCCTGTGCTCTGCCGGGATGCCGAACTGCTGAGCCCACCTCTCCTGACGGCGACCCTTTGTGTGCTCCCCCAGGTTGGCAGCCCCAGCTGGAGCAGGGGAGGGCAGGGGGAAGGAGCAGCCTGGGGGTCGTTCCCCCAGAGCCCCTGCAGCCCCCTGAACGTCACCATCAACGGCAGCCCCTGCATCCTCTTCTGGGCCAGGAGGATCCTCATCAGGCTGCAGAACCACAGCCAGCTGGACCTGACAGACAGGACCTTTGGGGTCCACGCCACCGTGGATGTCGGGGACTCGAACTGCAGCCAGGACAGCGCCCTGTAAGGGGAATTCTGCTCGGCTGGGTAACCAGATAACCACTCTGGGAAGTGCTCGTGGCAGTGATGCCTTCAGACTTTAGCTTTTATATTAGCTTTTTATATTTTTAATATATTTTTATACATCTTTTTATATTTATACATACATTTATAGTCTTATAAATATAAAATAAATATATAAATATATATAAAATATTTATATATTTTTATTTATTTATATATAATTTTTATTTATATATATTTATATTTTTATATATTTTCATTTTTAATTTATATATTATTGTTATATATTTTTATAGATATATTTATAGTCTTGTATATTTTAAATTTTTTATTTATTTTTAGATATTATTTCAATATATATTTATATTTTTATATATTTCCATTTTAAAATTTATTTTTATAAATTATTTTTATATATTTTTATAAATATATTTATATTCTTATATATTTTAAATGTTATATTTATTTTTATATATTATTTTAATATATATTTTTATATATTTTTTCATATTTTTATTTATTTTTCTATATTTTTCTATATTTATTTATATTTTTATATATTTTTAATATGTTTTAATATATTATTTTTATATTTAGCTTTTATGTTTTTCAAATCCTGTTCTGCTTTACTGCCTAACTCTAAACTCCCTATAAAGTGTTAGTTACTGTCTTCACGTTTTGGTCACACAAAACAATTCCTCTATGCCTGTGGTCCAAGGACACAGCACAGCCTCAAAAGTATCAACAAAAGTGACTTGGGGGAACAAACTGGGGGTAAATGACTTCATTACCTGAAGCTGTAATTGCAGATTAACCCCTGATATGTAAATAGGGTTAAAAATTTATAAATTATATAATGATTATTGTATCATAATATTAGTAATTATTAATGTCATTACACAATAATATGAATAATATTAAAATATAATATTAATAAAATTAAAACATTATACTATTATAATAGTGTACTATTATAATAATATAATATTATAACAGTATAACAATAGTTAATATTAAATTACTATAACTATTAACAATTATATTTTATTATTAATAATAAATATGTAATCTATATTATAAAAATTTAAATTTAAAATTTTAAAATTAAATTTTAAATCTATATATAAAATTTAAAATTTAAACAGATTTATAATTGTGTGAAAAACTCATGACCATTGTCTATCTTGGGTGCAGCCTGTGGGAGGCTTTGACAGCCCAAGGTGTATCTATTGAAGGCCTTTAATAAATTCCCACTTTATTCTTTTCACTCTGCCTAGCCTCTGTTCCAGGAGCCACCCCAAGGCATCAGGAGAAGCTGCAGAGCCCAGTCTTTTCCTGATGAAGTCCTGGCACTGCAGGCAGCAGGGGCTGTGTAATTCAAGCCCAGCACACTCATACTCGGTTGTGCAGTGTGTGTAATCCCTCCTGGGGCAGCCAGCTGTGCTCTCAGTGCCCCTGGGCTGAAGCTGTTGTCTGTGTCAGCTCCAGATGTTTCACACAGCTGCTTGTGGGGTTGGAGAGGGGATCCTGCACTGAATGTGGGGCTTGAGTGCTGCCCATGAATAATTATCCCTTCATGGGGTGTGTGCCAGTCAAGCCTTTTTGGGCTGCCTAAAAACAGAGGCCAAACAAAATTAAGATAATAAAAAGCAGTTCTATTTATTGAAGGACTTTCAGGTGTATTTAGGGCAGACAGAATCTCCTGGGGGCTACATCCAAACTGGACCATGGGTCACAGTTTTCACACTTGGATAAGTCTGGTCCATTTCCATACTGGGGTTAATCTCCCAATTCCAGCTCCAGGTCATGAAGTCATTTACCCCCAGTTTGCTGCCCCAATCCCTTTTGTTTCCATCTCTCAGGCCTGGGGCAGTGAGGGGTCCTTGATTGCCAGCCTGGAGAGGAATTGTTGTGTGTGCCCAAAATGGGAGAGCAGCAGCTCACACTGGCTGTGGAGTTTAGAGTCACACACCAAACAACTGCAGGGTTACACATACATTACAAATATAAAAACTGAAATGCCAAGGCATCACCAGCAGTGCTGCACAGGGTGCAGGTCTGTATTTGGATGGTCACCCCAAATCCCAAATCCCAGGTGATCCTTGAGGGGCTGGAGACAAAGAGTTTGCATGTGGCACAGGAGTGTCTGAAAACCTGAGCTCTGCACACCTGCCTGCCATTAATTCCTTCACTACCAACAGCATTTTGCAGCTTTGCTCAGTGTTTCTCACCCTGAGTGAGAAGCATTCAGCAAAATTCTGCTTTTTGTGCTTCTCACGCTGAGTGAGAGCTCACCACGGACCCCACTGCATCCAAAATCCTCCAGAGCCTTGGCTGTTCTAGGAAGGCAGGTGGTATTTTTAAATTTCTTTTCCCACGTGCCTGATTGCTTCTCTCCCCCCATGCAGTGTGAGCCTCGTGGCTCACACCAGATTCCACTCTGGGAGGCCTAAAAATCAAGAGGTAGATTCCTAATTAAACATCAGCACTGATTCGACCCCATAAAGGAAGTTTAAATCTGTAGTGACACACACAGCAATAAAAATAACATGATCGAAAACCATCAGTTTCATTTATTTCCTATGCAACATTTCAGCTGTACATCTAAATATGTTTTCACTGAAAAGTAGGTGTTACCTCTTTCTGATTGTACAACACAAGGTGCCCAGACATTTGGGTGAGGTTACCAGAAAGCTAAAAGTGAAACTGAAAAATAACCCAGCATCACAATATTCAGTAAGGCAGTTTGAATATTACATCATCATTCACATAAGGAATATTACATCATGTGAAATAATCCAGCACTCTTTTGACAGGCAGAGGGAGAGAATGGAATAAACTTATATTAAAAATCAAAAAGTGATAACAAACATTCCACCCTGTCTTCTGCCCTACAATTTGAAAATAATCTTAGTCTGATTAGTATTTTAACCTAACAGAAAATAAACTAAGGCAAAATTAAGAGTTTCAAACCACAGAGAATGGTATCAGATACAATAATCCAAGCTGTATTTTTTTTTTCTAGTTGAATGGCACATTTGCCTGTGTCCAATCCTCAGCTAGCTCTGACTTCCCTTTGTAATAAAGCAAGGGATGGTCTGGAGTCAGTGTCCTGTCTTAGGGGACCAGTGCTACCCAACACGTCTGGATCACCTGGGAAATTGTGGAGCTAGCTGTTTTTTATTTTGATTGTTTTTCTGTTTGTTTGTTTTGAAGTTTTTGTTGTTGGTTTTGTTTGTTTGTTTTGTTTTTATTTCCTCAAGCATTCTTCAGCTTTAATTTTGGAGGCCTTTCAGAACCTTCATGTTTTCACTATGCTTTTTTTTTTTTTCTTTTGGTCTTCCTTGAACAATGAGAATCTCCATGCATGTTTTAAGAGGCAAGATATTACCTTTAAGTGAGATGAATATATTCAGCCTAATCATGTACTGCATTAGTTATCCTGATAGGGTCTTTCACTTTATTTTCACTTTATCCAGGTGCCCAAGGCTGCTGCAGGTGAGCACTGCAGAGCTGCCTCACAGCCAGGGCATCTGTGACGAAGGAACATGGAAATCTGAGCTCTCACCTCTTCTTTCTTCCATGCTCTGATGTTTAAAAAGAGGAGGACAAGGTTTACACTTCCCAGTGACAGGCAGGGGTGACGCTTGACTGAGATGTCATGGCTCGAGGAGGGGAGCACACATCCCCCGAGCCCGATTATCAGCCAAGGTGGGAAGCAGTGGGACTGAGTTGTGTTGGAAGTTGAACACGAATTTCTATTCTTTCTGGGTAGCCTGGGCCTCGTTCCAATTAACAGGTGAACTAGAACGTTTCACTGGAGGAATATTTAATCCTTTCAGGTTTTTTCCCCACTGACTTTAAGGGTAGACTGAGCAAAAAATTTCCACGTATAATTGAGCTTAATCTTTCTGTGCTGCTTTTTTCTCTGAAGGTTTCTGAATTTTTTTCCTAACCTGATGTTACATGCGTTTTGACCTAGGCTTTCCCTGAAGTTTGGTGACATTGGCAATCTAAAGGGACTTGTTATCAGGTAAGTTTATAAAATAAAAACCTTACTAGATAATAACACAGTGTTAAGATACATTGTTGTGCAGCTGCTTGGGGAATCAAAAGGAATTTGTGTAAGCAAAAATAATGTGGGAGAAACTCCTGTATAACTGAAACACCTCCATTCAGCACGTCTGCCTTGTTTCATTAAGGCATTTTTTCTTCTGCATTGACTTTTCTACTCGTGGAAAAGTTTGGGTCATTTCTTTTGTGTAGAATCTTCCCTTGTCTGAGATTTTAGCTGAACCTTGCTACTTCACTACAGGCTCTGACCTACTTTATGTTTGCTTCTTGGTGGTAGAAGAGAACAGCATTTCTTGATAAGTGACTTTGCACACATCGGGTGGAGGTTGGGTACAACATCAGTGTTGCATTCACAATTTCCCCAGTAATTACACAAAATCCCCTCATAGTCTTCTTGCTTTGTGGGAGAAGCCAGACTCCTTCAGTTGCCACAGCAAATACAGAATC